ATAGGGATGAATGGCCCTATTATTGAGGGTCTAAGAAAATTTTTTTTTAAATTAATGTAATTATCAACATAGATTTAGCTATTATGTCGTTATTTAAGTAGTAATTGGTTATTTCACTAATGAACCATACCTGAGAATTCTTCAGTAGTAAAAAACTAATGATGACAATTACTATTAATTTAACAAAAAAACTACTGTTTGGCTCTATTATTAAGCCCATATACAGCCTATGTACCTACTATCGAGCCCATATTATAGAGGCCTGTCCGTATTTTAGAGTCCCCATTATCGAGCTCTGAGTTTCAGACAAGGTTTGTGATTCTTATTTAAAGCTAGCAGTACTTATTGGTAATTCTTTGGCTACATCCTCCAATGCTTTTTTTATAGCCTCCTTGGAATATTGACACCTTTTTTTCTTTTCACTGGGACCCTTCACTTTCATTGTTTCTCCTGCAAATACCGTATTTACTCGATAATATTACCTACATTTTAAAGTTTGTTCGTATGGGATGTCAATTTATAAGCGTTTATTTGTATATAACTGATACATACTTTAATCCATCTTGCCAGGACTGAATACAAATCAAATTAGCAGCAGGTGATGGTTAGGTTACAGCTGCTGAAGGCGCTGGCATTGTATATATATATGGCTTGATATTGAGGGCTCGATGCAAATAGTGCCTCTATTATCGACTTTGTTATCAATAAACAAAATAGGAATGGAAAATTTAAAAAACAACTTGTCATTGCGTAGTAAAAGGTGTAATAATATTGCTGTTACTTTTATGCGATGTATTTATTGAAGGTAGTGAATTTCTTATACCATATTAAAATATAATTTTCCTTAAGCTTTTCGTTAAGAGATCTCAAGATTACAGGAGCTTGATGATGCAAGCTCTCTTTTCCCATGTTGAATACTTTAAAATGTATAGTAATTTAAACTTTGAAAGCTTTGTTGGCTACATTATATAATTAATTTATAGGAAAAGAATAGTTTATGTGTTTTCCTTATCTTCTCATTTTTATTTCCATAATTTTAACTCAGACACTCGATAATTGAGACAGGCTCGATGATAGGGACATCTACCCTATTACGGATCTAACTTCACCCTTCTCAAACTTGTGGTAATTGTGACGTGGATGTTTCAGCCAGAACGAAGCCGTCCCAACATCTTATCATAAAACTCATGTACGTTATCTAACTCGTCTCTACTTGCTGGACATCTTTTCTCTAGAAGATCTGCCACAAGTGTCTAGCTTTGTAACGCCAAGCTCGTCTAAGTGGAAACGGAAATAGACAACTATGGGGCACTAAACCAATAATAACCTTACATCACTTTCTATATTATCACGACATACTTACAATATTTATTCAGTCCTGTATACAGTGACAATAGCCCCACTTTTTCTTATTTTCTCACTTTATAGTGAATATATATGTATGCGTGTATGTGTGCATGCGTACGTGAATGTGTGAGTACAATAACGTTTGTATTTTCTTGTTCATTCGGAAATCTTCACCTCCTTTTTTCGTTTCGTATAACTTTATTATTTAATTCAACATGACATTTTCTATACAACATATTGTGTATGTTTTTTTTCTAATTTTATGATGTTTCATTACTCCTTTTTTTTGTTATACACCCATTTATTCATTAGACGCAATAAATATATAAGTCTCTAACGTAGAGACTCATAAAGAGAGTGGATTGGAGTAAGGTTGAATAAACCAACAAATGCTGTTGCAGTGAAATACTGTAATACAAAAAATATTTATCATCTAGCTATATAAAACTTACATCACTACTTAGTAGCTTTTACCTGAATCAACATAAATTGTCGGTATTCACTGATAATTTGTAACAACGTGTGTGGACAATAATAAACCAAGTGCGACTATGGCACAGCATAGTTTATCAGCGACTGGCTCTTCTTGAGGCATGTTGTTCGGAATGCGTACCAGCTCAGCCAGCTACAGTTGTTGTACGTATCTATATTTTCTTTACGTATGTATTCTTATCACAAAGGCATTTTTTTGTTTTTCTTTGTTACAAATAAGATTATTAAGAAGGCTTGTATATTAATGTCTTATGATTAATTGAGCTTAAATATAGTTATGTGACTCTAATGCTTGTCGGTTAATTAGAAATTCATACAACCAATGGTATAGAAGCGAATGTTGGTACATCTAAATCATTGTATCAAGACGCGCATTTGCATAGATGGCCGCACTTTCAATACAAGCACTCTATATTCTCCACACATGCCCTTTTTTCTCAATATTCAATATACATAAGGCTCATAATATGAAACCAAATTAATTCTTCTAAAAGAAAATTTTCTTAAGAAATAAATGATTCTCCCCGGGTGCGGATCGAACACACAACCTCCTCTTTACTAGACAGTTGCTCTACCACTCGAGCTACTGAGGAGCTGTACATTAACTCGCATCGTAAGTTTAGATAAGTCTCTCATTCTTAATTTTCAGAGCTGTTTTTTACCAAAGCCCGATAAAAAAGTTATGTAACTTTAAGGCTTGATATTTTTCTCATTCTTATTTATTTCTGAAAAAAATTTTCTTAAAGCAAAATTGATGTAGTTTGATATTATGAGTTTTACGTATATTGGATATTGAGAAAAAAAGAGTATGTATGGAGGATATACAGTGCTTGTATTGAAAGTGCCGCCATCTATGCATATGCACCTCTTGATACAATGATTTAGATGTATCAATATTCGTTTGTATACCATTGGTCGTATGAATTTTTAATTTACCGACAAGCATTAGAGTCACATAACTACTTTATCGGGCTTTGGTGAAAACCAGCTCTGGAAATTAAGATTGAGAGACTTATCTAAGCTGACGGTGCGAGTAAATGTACAGCTCCTCTGTAGCTCAAGTGGTAGAGCAACTGTCTAGTAAACAGGAGGTTGTGTGCTCGATTGGCACCCGGGGAGGATATTTTTCTAATTCTTATTTATTTTTAAACAAAATTTTCTTAGAGAAAAATTAATGTGACTTGATATTATGAGTCTTACGTATATTGGATATTGAGAAAAAAGGGCGTATGTGGAGGATATAAAGTTCTTGTATTGAAAGTGCTGCCATCTATACAAATGCTTCTCTTGATACAATGATTAAGATGTATCAATTTTTTAATGTGTACCATTGGTCGTATGAATTTCTTAGCTAAAATATGTTTATTTACTATAAAAGTCATGTAAATAGGCATATCTTTCTAAGTTTTTTGCATTGTACGTCTATTTCTTATGATACTGGTGGGAATCTCTTTGTGCTTGTGCTACTTGCTTTATATTTATATGTTTGTTCTAGGTATGTAGCCACGTTTGCCGTATTTAATCCTTCCAATTTAAGCAGCGATAGTAGAATACTAAAGAGGTTCAAGTTTTCTATTGTCACTAGTGGTATCTCGGTATAATACTTAACTTCCTTGTTTAGCTGGGCTGTTGTGACCTCAGATATTCCTGCTATTCTTTCTCGTCTATCATGTTTCACTCTTCGAAGAACCTATGATCTGGTTCAAACTACTTTCTTAATATTTCTGCTACCAGTATTACATCTGGCCCTGCCACCAGCAGATGTAATAAGTCTTGACTTGCTCAATATACTATATGCATCAGTGTTGAAGACTTAGTCTCAAGTTCTTTGCTCCATTGTTCAAATTTGTTAACAAACCCTGATTTTCTGTACAGTTCTATCAATATACTTAATCCTCTTTGTGTTACCTTCTATGGCTTATCTTCAAATTTTCTCATATTGTATAGAACCTGCTTGTAATTATCAAATGCTAAAGTTCGTATGTGTTCCTTTCAGTATTTTTTAGTGTTAGTTATGTGCACCGAACCTAATCAGAGCTCAGTCAGAGCAGACTCTCGAAAAAGATAACAGATGTCTGCGTGATAGGCTATTAGAAGCCAATGAAAGCATCGCGAACTTAACACGAATAAATTTGGCTGTGACATTGAACCAAAGTCAGCCACAAATAAGGAACGTGACATTTGCATGCGACAACGTGCCAGTGAAAAGGCACGAAACCATATTTGGCGAGGAAGCGTTTGCGAATCTCGCAGGATCGCAGGCTACATAATTCGGAAATGGCCAATACAACGTAGACTTAGCGTCGGCATCGGCACACGTTCTAGCACCACCACCACCCACGACGATGGGACACGTATGGTCACCAAATCCAGTCAGCTGGGTACAAGCGATGTGCCCATCATGCGCAGCAACAAGTGCGTACACGGCATCGGTAAGCTACCTGCAAAGGAGTGGGTACTCGATGGAATCACTGGCGCGTACAACCTAAACACAAGTGCTCACGACGTAACCACACACGTATGCAGTAAGTTCGTCAACGCACCCAACGTACTTCAATCTGCCCCTGTGTTTGGCTGTACCAAACTGTGTTTGACCCCACACGTCCAGCCTAGTCGGGGGGGAGTCTACTGCCCTCGGCCAAAAGACAGTCGGGATCATGCAGGTCGTACGTCAACCCCGGATGCCGTGACTTGGGACAAATTGTCCTGCGATGCAACGTCAAGTTCACGGGAGAAAATCACGACCACTTCGACTCCTTCCTCACGCGCATTACGGAGTGCTGCACAACTTTGGGGCTTACGGATGCAGAGCTTTTGCAAGCTCTGCCAGAGCTTATGAATGGCATCGCAGTGATGTCGTTTCGCAACGAATGCGACCAGTGAATCAGCTGGGCTGATTTTGTAGCCGCAGGACAGGAGTGGTATGGCTCAGGCCAGGAGGTGCAACGCCGCCTAATCTTAGATGCGCAAATGCGTACCCAGTACGCTGGTGAGCCCATACGAAATTTCTTAACACAGATTAAGAATATCATGCGGCCCAACCTCTGAGCGCTAAGGTACAAAAGATAGCGGCTATCCGGAACAAGCAAGCTACCCTTTGAAAGGCAATTGAGGAGCTGCAAAAGAAATTGGCTAATCTACCTTAAATTGCTGGGTTCGACATGATGGATAAGTACTCGGCAGAAATAGTCGATGAGCTGACCAAGAAAAAAGTCAGAAAACCTGTAATTGATGAAAATATGCTGAAGCTGCTGCTTAACCTTCTATGCGTCAAGAAGCGTCGAACAGACCTGGCTAAATATGTTAATGAGCCAAAGCAGAGCTCCAGTTCCTCAAACGGGTCCTGTCAACAGGGTCGACGATCATCCACACCCCCTTCGCCCAAGGCGAATGGCTGTCGAGGTTCGGGCTCGCACTCACCAAGGCGAAACCCGAACGAGGGGTCAGGCACGAAAAATTCTGGTACCCAGAGAGACAGGTCTCCTTCGCAAGAGTCACAGTCGCGCTACTATCAGTGCAACCACCTTGGCCACTATGCACGGAACTGCCCGAATAAAAGGCAGGGAAACAAGAGGAGGCAGACGTAAACGAGGGTATTTCGCCGCCTCCCTTTACCCAACCCTCACAGGCCGTGGTTGTATCCAAGGACGCGCGCTGGTGGTGGCTACAGCTTGAAGTAGCTGGGTACAAGCTGCGAGCGCTATACGACCCTAGTGCTACGCATACTGTCATGCGAGCAGTCGGGCTCCAGATAGCCAATTCTTGTCATTGGCAACTACGCCCCACGCTAGGGAGCGCGGCGATGGCCAACGGACGACCAGCACGTACCTTAGCCTTTGTCACCCTACCCTTCGAGTTGGAAGGGGTAAAACGGGACGTGAACGTCATAGTATTGCCTGAGTTAGACGCCGACTGCTATGTTGGGGATAACTTCATCAACCCCTTAGGGACCGTCCATGATCCTGTTGATAGAGTCCTGGTGCTGAAAGGATAAGGTACCAAGGTTCCTCTAGAGGTAGTGGGCGTGACGGCGACCAGTGAAGTCTGACTCGCTGCCGTCGGGCTGGACGAAATCTCGTCCAGGCAACAAGAGGAATTTCAGACCCTCCTGGACCGCTATGTGGAGCGTGAAGCTCCCTTAGTATGTATTACATGGGTCAATCACGAGATCGAGGTCATGACATCGCGACCCATCAAGCAGAGGTGCTACTTGGTATCGGATAAGATCTAGGAGGTAATACATGCCCACGTGAGGGAGATGCTCGAAAGTGGCGTGATTGAGCCATCCAATAGTAGCTGGGCAAGTCCCGTGGTAATAATACGCAAGAAGGATGGAAAGTATCGTTTTTGCATCGATTACCGGAAAGTGAACGTGGTGACAACCCCCGACACGTACCCATTGCCACATATGGATACCATCCTTCGCAAGCTGAGAAAAGCACGTTTCATCTCAACTCTTGATCTCAGCAGCGCGTACCACCAGATATCACTAGCCGAGAAACTTAAGCTGGTAAAAGCATTCACCATGCCAGGCAAGGGACTCTTCCAGTTCCGACGGCTGCAGTTTGGCCTAAGTAATGCACCGGCGACGTTTCAGCGGTTAATCAACAGCTTCATTGGGCCGGAGCTTGAGCCCTACGCCTATGCCTACCTTGATGACATAATAATTGTCACAGAGACATTCGAGGAGCATTTTAAGTGGCTAAAGCATGTGCTGAAACTCGTGCATGAAGCAGGACTTACCCTCAACCGAGGAACGAGTAAGTTCTGTCAACCCGAGGTGGGATACCTTGGGGTTCTCGTAAACCGAGATGGTTTACGACCGGATCCGGCTAAATGGGAACCAATCACGGCATTTCCGGCTCCAAAGAACCTGAAAAAACTTAGGCGGTTCCTAGGCATGGTTTTATGGTACCAGAAGTTTCTGCCAAACTACTCGACGGTAGTAGAACCGATCAACAGGCTGTTGCGTAAGAATCAGCCGTTTGACTGGAAAGAAAGACAGCAACGATCCTCCAAACAAACAAAGGCTTTGCTGACGTCCTCGGTAGTGCTACAACGACCCGACCCCAAGAGTCCATACGTGGTGCAAATGGACGCCAGTGACTCCGGACTAGGTGCTGCATTGTCGCAGATGGTCAACGGGCAGGAAAGAGCACTGGAGTTTGCGATCCGTTTGATGACATTGGCTGAACGCAATTATAGTGTGACAGAGCGTGAATGCCTCGCGGTCTAATGGGCGATGCAAAAGTTCCGCCCATATATTGAAGGAACACGCTTTATGGTCATGACCAATCAAACACTCTCGGGTGGTTGGTTAGTATTAACAACCCGACTGAATGACTGTCAAGATGGGCCATGGAACTTCAAAGCCATGGCTTCGAGGTTGAACACCGGAAAAGGACGCAAAACTGCGTACCTGATGCCCTGTCATAACTGTATGAGGATGACGAGAGTGGCACTGTGGCAGCGCTCATGTGGGAACCCCCGGGTGGAGATCTTTGGTACCAGGAGAAGGTACAGAAAGTACGGGATGATCCACGAAGTCAACCGCGATGGAAAATCGTCGGGGGATACCTGTATGCGTATCGCCCCATTCCACGGTTGACGAAACTCTTGGTGACATAGAAGCCTGGAAGCTGGTGGTACCTAAAAGCCAGCACGACCAAGTGCTTCAGAAGTATTATGACACACCATCTGCCAGCCATCTTGGCCGTGGAAAGACATTCGCGCGTGTCTCTCGGTTGTACTACTGGCTGGGATACTACCAGAATGTTGCCGGTTACGTGCGGAGCTGCTAGGTTTGCCAACAAACCAAGGTAGACCAGAGGCCATCCCCAGGACTTATGGGGCGTAGAATCATCACCGCTCCGTGGCAAGTAGTGGCCGCTGACATGATGGGCCTCCTACCGATGACAACACACGGCCACGAATACATCCTCGTGATCGAGGATCTATTTACAAGGTGGGCTGAAGTTGTACTACTATGGCGAGCCAATGGAAAGGCCGTTGTGAGCGCACTGAGAGAGCGCATCATCTGTTGACATGGTACCCCAGAAGCTTTGTTGGCAGATAATGGCACCGAGTTCCAGAACAAAGACGTCGATGGGTTTTTGGAGAGCCTGGGCATACGGCACCTGCTTACGCCGCCGTATCATCCGCAGGCGACCCAGTTGAACGCCTGAACCGTACCATCAAGACCATGATTCAAGCTTTTGTCGAAGCCAATCATAGGTCGTGGGACGAAAAGCTGCCCGAGCATATGTTCGCTTACAACACAGAGAGGCACGCTTTCACAGGCTTTTTCCCCGCGATGCTTAACAGTGGTAGAGAACCGTACGACCTAGGTACAATGCGCCAACAGGTCGATTCGACGGCCCAGCAACGTCTAGAGAATGAGGCACTAAAGAGCTGGAAGCAGCGCATGGAGCGTTTGCCGATGTTGCACGTGGAATCAACCCAGCAAAGCGATAAGGCACAGGCCAATGCCACCCAGCATTACAATGCCAAGCATTGCGACCTGGTCTACGCTCCCAGTGACCAGGTATGGTGGAAGAACCACGTCTTGTCCTTAGCATCGCAAGACGTGGCAGTAAAATTGGCCCCAAGGTACGTCGGCCCCTTTACCGTCCAGAGGGCAGTGGGTTCCAACACGAACGAGTTGGAATCCGAGGAAGGTATGCAATCAGGCCCCATTCACGTGAGGCAGTTCAAGCCCTACCTGAGTAGAACCCCAGTGACGGCGGGAGGAGACCCTTCTTCTTACGACTTGTGGTCCAAAGAAGAAGTGGGTAGCGCTCCTTAACCACCGTTGGAAAGCAGCGAACAGGCGAAGCGCGACCCGCCTATTGTGAGCTCTCCTCATGTAAGTGAGGCTGCCGGACCAGCCAGGCCGAAGTGAGGCCACTCGCGAAAAGCGACCGAGGTGTTGAAGCTATTCGCCACGGCTAAGACGCCTGTGATTTAAAGCAGACCACGCGATGACGTCCGAACATGTGACCCTGCGACGGGTCGATTTCCGAGTGATATACGATGTTTGCAGCCCCGAAAATTAATCGAACTTTAGAACTGTGTGGGCCTCCATCCAATCTGATTATGTTCTTTCTTTCTCTCTCCCCACTTTTGATTTTTTTGTTTTCTTGGGGCAGAACTGTTTCAGATGGAGACAACAACCGTCAGCCTGGGCGGCCTTACTAGACGCCTCAGGCACGTCACAAACGAGTGGGAGGTGACCGAGCTCGTTGAGGCCTTCAATTGGCCATTGAGCCCCATGGCGAGGACGAGGCCGATCCATCGCTGGCAGGCCTGCCCACCCCAGAAGCCACGGAGGCTTCAGAGCCCTTGGCCATCGAAGCCACTTCCGACCCAGACGCCACCTGGGAAGACATCCAGAAGTGGCTTAACGAAGCCTGGGAACACTTCGTGGCAAGCCGTGAGAAGGCGCTCGCCGTGTTCACAGCGATCGAGGCCTTTGTTCGGGAGAACAGCTCTACAAACAGAACCTCCAAGGCCGAAAAGACGGCCATGATCGGCCGTAAATGTTTCGTGGCCTTTAACAACACCTGGGTCGAGATGCGTCAACTCCTCACTAAAGAAAAGCATCGCCACACCGAGGAGGCCCGACGCCTTGAGGACAGGAGGAAGATGGACGCCGAGGCTCAACAGCTACGCCAGGAGGCTGAACGCCTCCTGACCAAGGCACGTGCGGTCCAAGAGAAGATGACAGGAACCACCACCCACCCCGTCTGCTGCTATATGTGCGGACTGCAAGGGGTGAAGCGATCCAACGAGTGCCCGAGGCGCTCCGAGCACTTTAGAAATGAGGGCGTGGGCGGGGGCTGGAACCGTAAGTGATCTGGTCCTAGGATCAACCCAGCCACGGATCAACCGTCACAAGATGATTTTGTTTTTGATTTAATTAATTTTTTTTTTCGTTTCATCTTTTTTATTTCCTTTTTCTCTTTTGCTTTCTCTAACTTCTCCATCGCAATAAATAGTGCCCTTTTCTGTCTTTTATAGCCAACGTTATATTTTTCTTTTACCCTTTATTTTTCTTTTCCCTCTAGTTTAAACCCTATCCTTTCTAAATGGCAGCTAGGACGTAGAGTTAGATACCCCGGTAACCAACGTCTAGTTGGGGGGTGTAACGGTGCTCCACCGTTAGGCTACATTAGTAGGCTAGGACAGGTAGAGAAGCAGGGAAAGGGGAGAAGAGAGTTAAAGAGCCTAGGTGAAAAAGCGGTAAGGGAAAGTAGGGGAACGGAGGAAAAGGCCGTGAGAGCGTGAAATTAGCTTGGGCTTTTTGCTGCGCAAAGCGTTTTCTTCGTCTTTTTGTTTTTCCTGCGTTTTGGTGTTGTGGTGGCTGTGTCTTGGTGCAGTGCTTGGAGGTGAACGTCCTGGTCCTGCTAGAATAGCAGGCGTCACCGGACTGGAGCTCAGCTAGGTCGACTCCAACGACCTCGATCTCAGGCGACACTGAATTCGGGCTTGGCAAGTTCGACTCCAACGACCGTGACCTTTACACGCAGCCAGTAGAGTCGCCTACTGGTCTCTGTGCACTCACTTAAACAGCGTCTAGAGCCTCGGC